ACGCCCAGGCTGCCAACTGTGTGGGACGCGAACAACGCACCCCAGCCCGCTAGGAGTGGCCCGAGGCTCCTCCCGCCCCCAAGGCCGCAGCCCCTGGTCACCGGCAGAGGGCACACACACTGCTCCCCTCCACCATGCTGCACCCCTCTCCGGGGCCTCCTACTCGTCACGAGCTGCTCTCCCAACTCCGGCCCGTCCTCTTTGCTCCTTCATGCGCAGAAGCAACGAGACACGTGTCAAGATGAGGGAGGAAGATGCGTCAACAGGCAGCCCCAGCACAAATCGGAATGTGCTGGAACCAGGAATCCAGAGGCCATGGGGGCACTGGCGGGCACCGCGCCCGCCTGCGAAGAGGCAAGGTCAGGAAGGCTGCCCGGAGGGTCTCGTTTACTCCGAGGCACAGAGGGCAGGGGCCAGCGCCCAGCGTGAACCTGCGGGCACTGACCGCCTGAAGGCCAGAGGCGGCAGGTGACCTGACACCACGGAATCTAGAAGAACTCAGCCGGCGGGGGAGGGGAGCGCGGAGAAGGAAGCCCCTATCAGCACCTTGAGAGAGAGCTGACTTGACACAATCAATTTCTCTCCTGCGCTAAAAATAATAGTAATAATAACAACCACCTCTAAGGGCCTCTCCCAAAGCGGAGTGCAAGACCTGGCTGGCCGAGGCCCTCACCCTGACCCCCGGCCGCACGCTAGGCCCACCGCCCCGGCTCCCAGTGCCAGCCCCAGCTGAGCCCAGGCGCCCCGGCCCACCCTCCTCTGGGACCTTGCCCGCCACCCACCACGTCTGCCTGTCCTTGGCGCCAGGTCAAACCCTTGCTCCTTCAAGAAGTGTCCCGGCCCTTGGCCCAGGCCTGGAGCTGCGTCTGCGCCCTGCGGGCTGCGGGCTGCTGGCGTGTGCGTGGACCAAAGCGAATCCTGATTTCGGAGACCGGGAAAAACGTTCACAATATTCAATTCACCAGCATTGCATTCCTGAGTAACCAGCCATAGAAGGTCATGAAAAAATAATTATTCTGGAATTACAGAAATACCATCAATCCAAAGCGGGCCGTCTGTGCGCTTTCCCGTGAACGTCTCTAGATACAAACAGCGGCAAAGCAACTCCGCAGACGAGACCGTGCACGAAGCCGCCCAGCAAGCTGAGGCCCGCGCAGGGTGCCAGGCGCGGGCGGGGGCGGTGCGGGTCTCCAGACACTCCTGCGCAAAGCCACAGTACCCAGGGCTCTCACAGCCTCAGAGCTCAGCCCGGGACTGGCACGGCCCCTGCCCTGCCTGAGGAGCCACACTGCCCGCTGCCGCTGCCCTCCTCAGTGTCTCGCGCCGCAGCACGGCGGCAGCTGGCACTTCACGAGGCGCCTGAGCCCAGGGCTCCTGTCCTGCCTGCGCCTGGCAAGTGAGCGGAGGTACGCACGTGGCCCAGGCGCGCAGGCCCCGAGCTGCCGTGACCCCGCTGACGACAGCCACCACGGCGGCGTGAGCTGTACCAAAAGCAGGCGCTCAGACGCCGGCCCGCCCTGCACTGCAACACTCCAGCTTCCGTGAGCAGACGCTCAGAGGCGAAAGCTGCTTGTTCTCCACGAGCAGCACGAACGCTAGTCGGATGCCTTCTTCTTTGTGAACACGCAGGACATCAGCAAACAGTCCAAGGCATCCAAAGAACACAGGCGGCAGGAGCCAACCTCCAGGGCAGCCATTTACTCTCTCGGAGCCCAACAAGCCCAACGCCAGCCGGAGGGACGACAGAGGCCCCCACGGCGGCCCGCTGGACCAGGAAATGGAACAGTATTTGTCTAGGGAGCTGCATCGGTGCCTGAGTCCATCAGTAGTTCCCAAGCTAACAGCAGATCCATGAAAACGATTTCAAGCCCCAAACCAACGCACAGACCTGGCAGAATTCCTATCAATATTCCAACTGCTTTTTCTGTAGAAACTGACAACCTGACCTGATGCTCAGGCAGTGATTCAGGCCCCAGAAGAGCCAAGTGCCGTGGAAAAGAAGAGCCAGAGGGCCAGGACAGTGTGTGGCAGCAGAGGACAGGCAGGCTGGAAACGAAAATAAGCCCGGGCTGGCCGGGCGAAGCTCGCCCGGCGCGCGCCCCTCGGTGCCGACTGCTGGGACAACGGGGCGCACAAGGGCCCTGGCTCACTTCCGCATCTAGCCACCCGGACTCAGCTGAGGGGATCCCCACTTTGCTGGCCGATCGGAGGCCGGGCGCCAGGAGCCGGGACACACCCCTCTCCGCAGGCCTGACCGGCCACGTCACTGGGCGTCTTTCCGGTTCTTGGACTGTGCGGTTGGCCCTGACTTCGGCGTGAGCACGGGGCGGGTGTCTACGGTCTTCGTGGCCACACGGTGGTCACAGGGGGCTCCTCCCGGGACACTGGCTGCCTTTGCAGTCGCCACGGGGCCTCCGGACGCTGGGGGACCTGAGGGTCCTCCCTCTGGCGGCTGCCACGCCTGCCACTGTCCGCGCCACCCTCGGGCCTGCCAGCCTGGCCTGGCTTCGGGAGGGCGGGGCTGCTGCTCCGCTGTGGTGTCATCTTGGCGGAAAAGGTGCGACAGGGACAGCTTTAATTCGGAGTGAAGCAGAGACTCAAGGTCAGAGGTAAGATCAGAGAACTCTTATCAAAGAATCAAAAGGGTAAAAGGTGCCCTCAACTCGGGCGGTGGCTTCCCACACCACCAGCAGCGGCGAGGCGGCGGACTGCCCAAACGCCAGGCTTCCGGGCCTCAGAACAGCACCAGCGAAGTGAAAGCCTGGCTGGAAGGGCAAGTGGCAGACCCGGTACCTGGCCAGGGCAGCTCTCACGGGCCGCCCCGCAGGCACAGGAAGCAGCACTCGGGCTGGCCAGCTGCCCGCCCGCCTGCCTCCCCCCACCCCCTCCTCCAAGCAGACAATGGCCGCCAGGCCCACGCGTCCCCAGGGAAGAGCCAACCCAAACCACCACCATGACGCTGCTTCCCGTGCACAAGAATGGCCATGACCCAAGGACAGAACAAGGACAGACCCAAGGAGAAACGGGCCCGGACTGGCTGGCGGCGGGGGTCGGGGCGGCCAGTCTGGGAGCCGCCGAGGCAGGTCCCTCCAGCACCGGGCCCTGCAGCTCCACAGCATGCGGCGCTCCCAGGGGACCGCGCCTGCACACGTGCCCCCAGTCACGGCCACCGCGTGAACAGAGACCTGGAAAGTAGCCCCAGGTTCAGGGCAGCCCCGGTGAGGGGAGCAGGGCAGCCCCAGGGGGGCAGACACGGACGATGCCCAAGAACAGCAGGCCAAGGAAGCTGGTCACATCACACGCCGTGGGAGTGCCTGAGAGGAAGGGCCAGGAGGCAACCCCGAAGGCAGAGGGGTCACCAGTGAAGGCCATGAACGCACAGGGCTTCCGACTTCCACGCGGCAGCACAGATGGCCCGAAGCCCGCGTGGGCCTCCCACAGGCGCAACGTTCAAAGGGCATCAACTCCCCATAACTACTGACAGTCACATTTCCTTAAAACGTCAAGCCCTCGCCGTTCTGGCCGTCAGGCAGACCTCTCCAAGTCCAGCTTTTTGAAGAGACTCAAGGTCATCGCCATGATGCTCGGCTGCTGAGCAGCTACGGGCAGACCTCTCCGAGCCGAGCTCAGCCTCCCCTGGCCTGCACCGCTGCTTGCTCGGCCTCCTCCGGCCTCCTCCGACAGAAGTCAGAAACCCAGGGACAGAGGCAGGGAGGGGGCGCGGAGGAAGTGAGCCAGCGAGAGTGCCTGGCGAGGGCTTCCCGCGCCTCCGGCCCAGTCCTCCCGCTCCCTCTGGCTGAGCAGGGCTGGCTGCAGCCTTCCAGCAGTGGCCACAGCAGGGGGACGAGCCGAGAGAGCCCCCCCGGCCAGGCGAGGAGAGCCTCCGAAGGCGGAGACCACATGTGGCCAGGTCCCTTGGAAGCACGTGGGCACAGATCACGGAGACGCCATGGGTGCCGCCTGCTCCTCCCCGGCCAGGTGGCCGCCCCGCCCCGCCTCCGGCCACAGGGAGCGCAGTCACTGCAGCACCCAGGAAGCCCTTCCCCTCGCTGGCTGCAGGAGCGCCCACCTGCCAGGCCATCCTCCCACACCCCCTCTGTCCACCTTCAGGCCTCCACAGACAGCAGCTGAGGGCCAAGGTGACCCTCTCCCGGGTCCCCTGGGCCGGGGAGTGCCTGGCCTCTGGAAGCAAAGCGGTGCAACCCCGCCTCAAGGGTGTTCAAGGGCTGTCCCAGGGCGGTCAGCGTGAGCACTAGACCAGCGGGGCAGGCTGCAGGGACACTGCACTAAATCACGCCTGCAGGGAGCCACGAGGCGACAGCAGTGATGGACAGAAGAGGGGAGTCAGGGGTCCCAGCAGAGACTCCCCACTCAACACCAGGAAAAGGCCTCGCCAGATGCTCCAGGCCCAGCGCCAGCCACATCTTAAGAGGAGGTCAAAGGCGTGTCTGCTCCTCCCAGGAGCTGGGCCCAGGAGGTTCAGGTTCGGCCTGCCAGCCACACCTCCGCAGTGTCCACTTTCTGCATAAAGAACCCCACACCTGGCTAGGACAAGGGTGTGTGTGAGTGAGAAAGTGGGGGAGAGACCCGGATACTTTCTCTAGGCTGCAGGGCTGCGGAAATGCCGCCGAGCGTCTTGGCGAAGGCCTCACCGCCCCTTTCTCACTAGACTTTAAATCCATTTGGAGTTTTTGTAATTGTAAAGAATATCCATAAAGCAGAACTGGCCACCTTAACCCTTCCTGTGCCGCATTTAATTCCATTCCCGCTGGTGGACGCCACCACCCTCTGCTTGTTTTTAAAAGCATCCTAAAAGTTGGGCCTCTCTCACCCTCGCTAAAACACGCCTGTCTCCCCGCTCTCATCACATGACAAGGGCGAAGGTCCTCCTCGGAGGCCCAGGCCAGGAAGGCAACAGGAAGCGCCCGCACCGCCTTGGAGCCGCCCCAGACCATCCTCGTTCCTCCAGACAGGCCACAGAGGCCGGAGGCTAAAAATACCTGGAGGGGCAGATAACAGCTGTCAAGGACGCTCAGCCTGCGGCCAGGAAGGTCGCCACTGTCACCAGATTTGCATCAGAAGATGTCCCTACAGGTGGCAACGGGTCACATGCAGAATCATCACAGGCAGCAGAGAAAGACTACGTCCCGCCCCCGAGGACAGGGAGCTCGTCTCAGGACCCTGCGTGTGGTCAAGTCCTCTATGACAGACTTCTAGAGGCCCCAGGAAGACAGAGGGAGCTGGGGAAGACAGCAGCTGCTCACTGCCTCCCGCCGGCCTCCAGGCCTTCAGCGCAAAGCACCAGCAAGCAGTAAGCAAGGGTGGCGTCCAGCAGACGCTGCCAGAGGGTCGGTGGCCCGCTCAAAGCAGCAGAGAAGGCTGAGGGGAGCACCCAGCCCTGACCTGGCCCTCCACACCTGCAGGAAGCTTCAAAAGACACAGGACGCGCCAGCCTCCGCAGACGCCAGGCCATGGCAGGTCAGTCCATGTGGTCACATGCAGCGGGGCCACCGGCCTCCCCACCCCACAAGGGTGAGAGAGTCCTGCAGGCGGGAGAGGAGCAGCCAGCGTTATTAGTCAGCTCCAGGAAGCACAGCTAAGAGAACGCAAAAAATACAGCCTAGAGGTGAGCAGACACTCGCTCACCTGTAACCACACACCACTCAAGCCCCTCTGTGAAATGACACTGCCTCAGAGTCTGGGAGCAGAGGCCATCGCTGCACCGTGGGAACAGTGAGCGGAACGGACACGACTGTGCTGGCGACGTCCCGCCAGAGCGCGGCCTCGCCTCACAGATTCACAGTCCTTCTCCAGGCCTAGCCAACACCCGCATTCTTGGCCAGAGCAAGACCCAGAAAGACACCGCACAGGTCACAGCAGCCTCCCTCCCGCCCGCCTGCGAAGCAAGGCCCGAAACCCAGCTCCGAAGTCCCACACTTGAGGCGGCAGCCATCACCCATCAGACAGGAAGGAACTTTCGAGGTCAACCCTTTCCCCAACACACGAAACCCCTCAAAAGCAGATCCGCACCCTCACTGCGCGGGCAACGAGGTCTGGGCTAGCGGCTGAGGGCACGGGGCTTCGGAGCCAGCGACTGCGTGGGCCCCAGGGACGCACGGCCTTGGCAGTCGGGGCTGGAGACCCTCCACCGTTCAGCGCTCCCTTCTTTGAGCATTACTTACAAGGAGCCTCCTTCTAGAAGTTAGATTTCATTCTCAATGAGAAAAAACCTCACGTAGGTCACTCAAACGCCTGCCCGCATGGCCTGGCGCCCGGTTTTCTCCTGGAGCAGCTCCGGAGAGCAGAAAGCCAGTCTCAGACGGCACGTCTCTGCTGCCGTCAGCCCTCGGGTCCACCTACAGGCACGCCCAGCCCTCGTCCCCTGCAGGCGGAGGCCATGCATCGGGCTGTTGGAGGCTGGGCCTCAGCGCAGGGTGACCCTGGGAGTCGGTCAGAAAGGTTGCAGCCTGAATCATCTGCTGCGGCCGTAAACTGTAACGGAGCTAAAATGCATCTAAATATAACTCGTTTTATTTCCAAAAGCTTCTGGGCAATTAAATAACTAGAAAAGCCACAAGCCCAAGAAGGCAGAGCAAGGGAAGCTGAGTTAAGCTCGCCTTGGCTCACGACGGAGGCCGAGAAGTCGCCGTGCAGGGAGGCTGGGCCCAGGCTCGGCCTGCGGAGCCCCCAGCTGCGCGCCTGCACCACGTGCCCTGTGGCCTCCCTGGGGCGGAGGCGCCGGCCGCATGGGCCTGCCCTCCCTGACCGAGGCGGGCCACAGGGCCGAAGAAAGGCGAGGAGACGCTAGTCTGTGGCCAGGGAGTACAGGGCCGCGCCGAACTTCATGGGAGAACAGAGATGCGGCGTCAATATGTTCATAACACAGCTCGATCCACACAATCACGAGATAATTAGACTGACTGTTTCTAGGCTTCAATCTGCTCCGCCAGAAACCTCGTCCAAGCACCGCCACCAGTCGGCACGCGCGCCCGGCTAGAGCGGAGCTGGTCACCGGTGCCCACTGGTGTACGGGGTGACTGGTGGCCACCTGACCTGACCTGTGCAGGTGCCAGAAGCCGCTGCAGGAACGCAGAACGGGTAAGACATGTAGAGGAATCCAAGCCATGAATGAGAGCACTGACGTCAGCGCTCAGCTCCCAGCAGGGCCGCGGGAGGCCCTGGGGTGTTAAAGCGCCAGGCACCCCGTGACGGAGAAGGACCAGACAAGGCCTGCTTCAGAAAGAGGGAGGGGCCGGGGAGCGAGGAGGGCACCGCAACCTTCCCCCAGACCACAGAGGGCCGCAGGCCTTGGACAGGCAGCAGGCGAGCCCGACTCCCAAACCATCGCCAAGGGCATCGTGCCTCCGAGGGCGGAAGCGGCCCTCCCGGCCCCGCCTTCCGCCACCTCAAGGCGGAGCCAGAATGCCCCCCCTCTCTCCAGGGGCACTGGCTGGACTGCGGGCCATTGTGGACATCATGGGGTGGGACCCCGCGGCCTCAGGCAAGAAGCCCCTGGCGTCCCGGGAAGGGCGCGTTCAGCTAACGGCGTGCTAGTGCCGTAAGCCGGTAAGAGGAGGGGCTGAGCCGTGACTCACGCGGCGCTGTCGGGGTCGCCGGCAGTGTGGACTGCTCATGCCCCAGCCCCTGGCAGGACAGGAAATACAACTGCCAATACACACGCCCGTAAACTCCCTGAAACCCTTTGCTCAGGACGCCTGGGCGGCTGTCCCTCAGACTCCCCGCCTCTCGGGAATGAAGGTGACTGCGTTCTTGGAAAGCCGGGACCCTCGCAAGCTGGCAACAGGGACGGGCCCTTGCTGGCCACTCACGGGGCTTTACCTAGCCATTCGCTCCAAGTGGGCTTTTTTTTAAATTTAAGCAAAAAGCAATTTTGCCAATAAACATTTGAAAAAGAAGATCTTATTAAGTTAAAATGCAGACACACTGATTTTATCTGTAATTCTAAAACAGTAAAAAAGATCACCTCCCAGTTCCGCCACAGAGATCTTTGATAGAGCATCACCACCCCCTTGTGGATTTGCAATAAATATCCTTATCTTCAATCTTCACTTTTGAAATGTTTCATTCTGCGGAACTTCCATTAAAGTTTACATTCTCTCCACTAAATAGAATCGTTTTATTACAATCACTTTTTAAGAAGAGGAAACACTGAACATTTTCAGATAACCAACCCATGACGGCTTTTATCCCGGGGGGAATGTTTTTTATACAGCGCAGATTTCCACGTGGCAAACACGTCACGTGCCTTAGGGTTTCTGGATTTACACTTTCAGTAGCACTGGAGCTCACTTGTAATGACGAGTGAGTAAGTCTTCACTACAGCATCTTTTCTCTTTCTGTTTGATAATTTCACACTTTGGGCCAATTTCTTACTATCACTTCCAAACGGCTTGATAAGCAAGGGCCCCAGAAAATCAATGGGGCCCACATGTCCTCAGCAGTGACTTTTCAGACAAGCATTAAAAACCAGCCCTAAGTGTGAGAAAGATTAATCTCTGGCTGTATTACGACACCGCAGACAGGCTTCCTGACAGAGCTCAGGAATCACTCAGGAATCAACCGAGTTCAGTTCCAAATAGACGGATGATCGGGAAGAAGCTAGACGCTTTTTCAGAACCAGTAAGGCTTTTTTCCCGTTTTCGTCTCGGGTGCACGCGCACCTCTGGTTGTGCTGCAGCTCGCCCCGTCTGACACGCCGAGCGGCACGTGTGCTGTACGACCCGCAGACACCTGCCGAGCTGCTTCAGACAGCGGTGCGGCTGAAAGCAGCGCTCACTCCCGCGGCGACACACAGGTCCCCGGAGAAGGCACCGACTGGCCCTCCAGGGCAGGGGTAGCGCCCCAGTCTTACAGATGCTAAGCCAAAAGCGGGGACACCGCACGACTACTAGCAAAAGACATGTTCCAGCTCCCCTTCTGGCGGTGAGATGGGGCGGAAGGAGGGACCCTCGTCCCATCTTTTGGGGACCACACGCCCCCTGTGGGGCTGACTAGAAGGGGGGCGAGGAGGCGTGGTGCTCAGGCCTGGACACGGGCCTTCACGCGACTTCCAGGGGGCCCTGCGCATGTCGGCCCCGGGGCGGCGCGAGCGCCGGCACTGCTGCGCGGGCCAGCCCCGGCCTCCAGGCTCACCTCAGGGACCTGGTTATGAATGTTGTTTCCGGGCTTTTAGGCAAGGAGGGAGCACGGGACGGGAGGCTGGCGGCGAGGGACGCCACCTGCTTAGTGTCTGGGTGGCAACACGCTTAGCCTACTCATGCCTGGGCCCCAGATACGTCTTCCAGTGCTGGCCGGGCAGCTGTCACCGCAGGTCCCGGCACACAGGGCGTGGGGGACACAGGCCGCGGCCACCGGGGCTGGCAGGCCGGGAGGCCCGGCTGGACCGCGGAGTCAGTGCGAGCGCGCTTTTCCACAGGGGCGGAGGGCCCGGCCCCACAGGACAGACACCTCCCAGAGCAGCGGCGCGCGGAGGGGAGCGGCAGCAGCGTCTGGCCGCCTTCCGACCGCCACGCGGGACCTTCCCAGACCCTGTGCAGAAGAGGGGAGGGAAGTTCTGCGGCTGACACGCGGCCTCTCTACAGTGGGGGCCAGAAAATGTTTTTTTCGTCCAGAGTAACGAGCTTAAAAAAAAAAACGCTCAGGAAGCATTACGATCCTCACGGCCGGGCGTGACCTTCTACGAGCTGCAGCGTCCGAGCAGGGAGGCGACACGACCCAGAAACACACACCGGGGCGCGGCCAGCGTGGAGCCGCCCACGGTCACCTCCCCAGGAACCCCCAGCCCGCGTGTCGTCGGCTCGGGCAGGCGCCTGGCCACGCGCCGGGGCCACAGGGCTGGCGGGCTCTCGGCCCCATGCCGCGTGAGACCCCGTTATCCCGAACCTGGTGAGGGGCCAAGGACACAGAGCGAGGGGCAAGAAAGCTCGCTCACGGCCGGGACTGGAAGCGGCAGCGGCCGGGCGACGCGTCTTCCCCGGAGCTGGCGGAAGCCTGCGGACAGCGTGGGCCGCACGGGCGTCGGGAGGCCACGCCGGCCCCCAGAGCAGAGACCGCGGCGAGGCAGCACGCGTCTCGGCTCTGCCCAAAGGAGCACCCAGCACCCCGCCTCGGGGCTCGGCCTCCCGGGACTGCTTCCCGGCCGCCACGGGAGTCTCCACCAGAGTCTAGGGGCTGAGCGGCGAGGAAAGCGGGGGACGCTGCCTCTGCCTGCGGGGCCCTGCGGCAAAAACCCCTCTGCGGGACGCCAGAAAGGCAAGGACGACCCCAGGCCTGCAGGGGTCGTGACGTGGGTGGCGATGGAGCCTCTGTACCGAGGGGGGGCCCGACCTGCGCCATCTGCAACATTAAGAAGGGGCCTGGCGGGGCGTCGAGAGACAGAAACCTCTGCGGAAGATCTGCCATGATGGAAGCACAAAAGCAGCGCAGGTCACCTGTCACCACAAAAATCCCTGGTCGCAGGCCCGCAGGGAGGACGCGCTGTCTCGCACAGCCTGGGCAGCGCTCCTGAGCGAGCAGCTGGAGTGCGGCCCGCCACGAGGGGCGCCGACTGGGCCTGGCAGGAGCACCTCACCCAGGTGCGGAGAGGGCGCCACTCGCCAGGGAGAGACAGCACAGAGGGCCGAGCGCGAGGGGCCGGCACCTCAGCGGCAGCAGCAGCAGGGCGACACTC